TAATCGACCAAGAGATAGCCAACCTATCAGATGCACAGTTCAAAACACTGGTAATCAGGATGCTCACAGAACTGGTTGATTTTGGTTGTACATTAGACGAAAAAATGAAGGCTACACTAAGTGATATGAAGGCAAATGTACAGAGAACCAATAGTGATGGGAAGAAAACTGGGACTCAAATCAATGGAGTGGACCAAAAGGAAGAAAGAAACAACCAAACAGAAAAGAATGAAGTAACAAGAATTTTTTAAAAAATGAGGAGAGGCTAAGGAACCTCCGGGACATCTTTAAACATTCCAAAATTCGAATTATAGGGGTACCAGAAGGGGAAGAGGAACAGCCACCAGTGGAAAACTTATCTGAACACATAATAAAGGAGAACTTCCCCAATCTGGCAAAGGAAATGGACTTCTAGAAAGTCCAGGAAGCTCAGAGAGTCCCAAAGAAGGTGGACCCAAGGAGGAACACACCAAGGTACATCGTAATTATATTAGCCAAGATTAAAATGCAGGAGAGAATTCGAGAAGCAGCAAGAGATAAGGGGACAGTCACCTACAAAGGAGTTCCCATCAGACTGTCAGCGGATTTCTCAAAAAAGACCTTACAGGCAAGAAGGGGCTGGAAAGAAGTATTCCAAGTCATGAAAGGCAAGAACCTCCATCCAAGATTGCTCTATCCAGCAAAGCTTTCATTTAGAATGGAAGGGCAGATAAAGTGCTTCTCAGATAAGATCAAGTTAAAGAAGTTCATCATCACCAAGCCCTTATTAAATGAAATGTTATAGGGATTTGTCTAAGAAAAAAGATAAAAATATGAACAGTAAAAAGACAGCAAACTCACAGTTATCAACAACCACACCTAAAACAAAAGCAAACTAAGAGGACAGCTAGATCAGGAGTGGAAACATAGAAATGAAGATCTCAAGGAGGGTTAGCAACAGGGGAGTGGGAGGAGGAGAAGGGGGGAGAAGGTACAGAAAATAAGTAGCATAGATGGTAGGTAGAAAATAGATGGGGAGAGGGTAAGAGTAGTATGGGAAATGTAGAAGCTAAAGAACTTATGACACACGGACATGAACTAAATAAAGGTAGGGAATGTGGGTGGGAGGGGTGTGCAGGGTGGAGGGGAATGGGGGAAATAGAACAATGGTAATGGCATAATCAATGAAATATATTTTTAAAAAGTTTGATATACATATTTGCATACTTTTCTATGCATTTATATATAATGTATATAAATAAGTTTTAAAACAATGGAATAGATAGGAGTGGGGAAGTAGATTTATAACTGTATGTGAAATACAGACTTTATTCTTGTATTATTATTTATTAATTATTGCATTATTTCCCATATGAAAAACTGTAAACCTGTTTACCCATCCCATATAACATAAAAACACACATATACATATATACACACACAACCCAATCTGTTCACTTTTTTCTTTTAATGACTTCTTGTGAAAATCTTTCCATATAAATAAATAAATGGGATCATCATCATTTTTATGGCTATATAGTATTCTATAGATATAGCATAATTTATATTCCAAGTCCCTTATTAATAAACTTTTTCCAGTTTTTCACAATTATAAACAGTGTTCTGACATCACAGGTACATCTTTGCAAATTTGTTCCATTCTTTCCAAGAAGTAAAATTGCTAGGTCAAAAGTACATACTTTTAAAAAGGCTTTTCATAAATGTTATTAAATCATCCTCCAGAAAGTGTTACACCAATGAGCACTCCCACTAGTAACGTGTGGGTATCCATTTCCTACCTCCTTTTATGTCTTTGGCCAACCAGGCAGTTGATAAACTATATCTTTGCATTGCTTTGGTTACAAGGGGAATTGAATCTCTTCTCATATTTACTGGCCATTTGGGGATGCAAATTTCTGCACCTGTTTTCCAGGTGCAGCATTCATCTTTATTTCCTCACTGATTTGTAAGAACTCTACATCGAGGATTCTTACCCTTGCCATATGTATTGCTACCAAGCTGACAGCAGAAGATTAAAACTAAAATGTTATATAGTAAGTCAAGAAATTATTTTAACTATCAAAATTAAAAAATAAGGACACTTCTACTTTAAAAGATAACAAAAACATTTGTTAAAACAACATGAAGAAAGCCCAGATAGAAATAAGAAAATTTAAGGCGAAAGACAGAAAAATAAAAATAACCAGTACCAGTCCAATAAAAAAGAAATTCTAGAAATTACACAAATTCTGATTTGTATAATAAAAGCTATCCACAAGAAAACAAAACAAAATGGGAGGGTGAAGAGGAAAAGATGACTTATCTCTGATAGGCCGGAGATGGTGTCAAAAATCTTTAACCAAGGTCTCCGTAGCAACATGCACAGTAGATCAAAGTGGGGAAGAGAGTCCAAATGGTTCACAGTAGTCTACATACTCATCCAGACCATTAGCAAATCCTCTGGAGGAGGCCCAATCCATTTAAAGCTACATTAAAGAAGGATAACAGATGAATGGGTGTGGGTAAGGAAAGAATTACAGAAACAGGATGAAGACTTCATGGAGGCAGGTTAATCTGTCATTTTAATTGCATTGTCTCTTCTTTTTGTCCACTAATTAGATTAAGACACTATTAAGAGTCATAGACACTAAAAAGTGACTCTTCTTGAAGAAACCATAACAGTGAGATGCCTCACCCTACCTACTCCAGATTTAATGTCAGAAAAATTTATTTTCACATGGAATTTCAAGGAGGTATATATCTTAAGAATAGTTTCCTGAGAATACATGACAATTTAAAAAACTGCTTCCCTGTCCAGTTCGTCTTTTTACAAAAGTAGTGTGAAATCCATTTTACTATTTCCCCATTTTCTGCATGAGAACACGTGATCTGCTTCATGCAGGTGCTCTCAGAGACAGTGACACTGTCGGTCTGGAATTAAAAACGACTCTAGACCAGAGCTGTCCAGAGGAACATAGTATGAGCAACATATGCTAGTTTAAATGCTTTAGCTGCTTTATTAAAAAATTAAAAGAAAAAGGTGAATTAACTTTAATAATGCATTTCATTTAGCATGATACATTCAGACTATTATCTTCTTAGCATGTAACAAATATAAAAATGAGGTGTTTTCATGCTAAATCTCAAAAATACCATATGTTTGTTACATTTACAGTACATCTCCCTATAGGCTAATCCCATTTCGAATACTCAAATACATGTCATGTGTGACTAGTGGCTTCCACATTGGATAACCCCATGCTAGACCAGTGGTTCTCAAGGCATGGTACACACACCAGCTGCATCACCGTCATCTGAAATGTTAGATGTGCAAATTCTTGAGCCCCATTCCAAACCTACTGAATCAGACCCTCTGGGGGTGGGACCCACCAATCTGTGTTTTAACAAGTCCCTTCTGGTAATTCTGATACACTCTAGGGTTTGAGAACCATTGCTGTAGAAAATTGCATTCAAATAAACCTAGGACAGCCATGGCAGGCTAGTACTGAGGAAGAAGAGTTCCTTCTTTTGAGATAATTCTCTTCTATGGAAATCTTCTAGTCCTTATTTTTGTCCCATTTCCTGGGACTCTGGAACAAATGACCAGACACATAATTTAAACATAGTTTCATTTATCATTTTGTTTAAGGAGAAAGCAAAATACAGTAACAAACCTACACTATTACCTTGAGTTTAGTTACTAACTTCTCTTGCCCTCAATTTCGTAACTCCCTCCCCCAAATGGGGATTATTTAACATATGTTAGCAACCTTTTTGAAAAGTACTGTGTACAAAAAAGAAAAAACTCATCAAAGTGACTGACACTTTTAAACTACAATTAAAAAATCAATGGGCAGGAAAGGTAATGTTATAGATTTTGAGCACCGAAGCAGAAGCCAATTCACTTATACTTCTCAGAACATTAGACTAGCTTGGGGGGGGGGGCGGGGAAGGAGGGTTCTTGCCAAAATCATTAAGGAGGACGATCTGAGCATGCCTTACAGCAGAACTTTCAGTAAACAGGAATTACTTATGAAGAAAATCAGGAAGCCAAAATGTTTCTTTTTATGAATTTACATCCTGCCTTAGAAAAGCTGGATAGGAAATAAAGACTGATGCACTCCCAACTGTATGTTTAACCGGCTATTATTCCATCAAGGAAAATCTGAGCCAAAGCTCAGATTCAGTGAAGGGGGCGGGGGAAACATAAGAAAGCCGAATGTCATGAGAAGCCAAAGATAACCAATGGCTACAATTAAACATGATTTGGAAAAAACTACAAACAGATCTGTACTCCGTGACTGCAGATTCCTTAATCACTGCCTGCCCTTTGCGCCCTCTCCCCCCATTTCAGTAATCCTCCAGGTTTTTTCTTGAAAATAAACATATGTGTGTGTCCACGAAAATAAGAGGCTAGTAAATTAATCCTAATTTCCTCCTCCCCATTATTATTAATAATATTAATTGTGTGTTTCCAAGCTCCTCTTAGCTTTTCCAGGGTTCTGTGATGAGATTCTACTTTGTTTTGCACTCTTCAGTTTGATGAGGGAAACGCTTTCACCTCCGTAATACTTCCTCAATTTACACTTCTACCCTCAAATAAAAAGACACTAGAAAGGTAATATAGCCCTTTCCCTCCAGGCAGGTCCCCTTGGTTTGGGGGAATGGCAGATGTCTTTCTGCAGTGACAGCTGCAACCTTCTGCAAAGCAGAAACTGCAGTTCACTCTTCCCCCTCCTTCCTCCGCCCTAACTCACTACCTCAGAAGTCCACATAATCCTTAAAAACCCATACACAACTCCTCCAACCTCGCATCCCCTCTCAATACACTCAACGCAGCAGGATGCCGGCTGCCACAGAAACGCACTACCCCCTCAGTGGCCCCACCCATTTCAGTCCCGCCCCCCGCCCCAACACCAATGGTCGCCGCGCGAGGCTCCCTAGGGACCCGTTGATAGGGTAGCTCGGACTGCCACTCTTAGGGTGTGTCCCGCCCCCGTCTCACTCAAGGCTGGAGCTTGAGGAGCAGGAGCATCAGCGCGAGTAGCTGCGAGCAGCCGCGGCGGCGGCGGAGCTTCGTTGCAGTTGCGCCATCTGTCAAGAGCTGAACGGGAGGGGAGAGGGCTGCCGCGGGAAAGGAGGAGGGGGTCGTTGTGAGCCGGAGGCCGCGGAGACCCGCCCGCTCGCCTGCCGACCGCGGGAACCGAGGCGAGGCTATCTTAAGAGCCGCGCGTCCTCCGCCGTCCGGGTTCGCGGCGCTTCACCCTGCGCCCGGAGGACTCCCCGGGCGCACACAAAGCCTCCGCCTGCACCTTACCGCCCGGCGGCCGCCGCCTGCGCCGGAAAGGGATCTGGCCGCCGGGCAGGGGATACCCGGCGCCGCCCCCTCGGCGCTCTCGGAAGGCCCACCAGCTCCCGAGCCAGCCGGACCCCCTGGAGCTGCCTGGGCCGCGCTGGAGGAGGGCGGGGAGAGGACCATGTGAATGGGTTCCGGAGCCTGAGCGCCGCACAGGTAAGCGGCAAGGGATGCGCGGTGAGAGGCCGCGGGGATGCTGCAGAGACCCAGGCCGCCGGCGCCCCCGCGCAGCGCTGCCCCCGCCGTGGGGCCCGGCGCTGCGGTCTCTTGGCCGCCGCCACCTCCTGGGCGTCCCACTGGGCTGCCGGGGAGTTGGCCGGGCTCGGAGTCTCTCCGCTGCAGAATCCTAGGCATCCCTGCGCCCCGAGGTAGCGCAGGGACCCATTTTCTCGCCTGTGAGCGGGCGCGGGGTGAGAATAGGAATTGGCTTAGTGGAGAGGCTGGCCCAGACTCCGCCCCCGCCCTCCTTTCGGGGCCCCCCGCGGGGACCCGGGCCGTGTGTGTTGTTTTAATGTCAGGGATGATGTAATCACTTAATAATTGATGCCCCTTGCTGCTTCCCTCCCCACCCCACTCCACCCCTGCCCCACTCCTCCACCTCTCGGCCGTCACCTTCCCCATCGCATCCTCCTGCCTATTTCTGGCACCTCCCTTGCACTTCCCCCATCCTCCCGTTCACTCTTCCTGTGCCACCATCCACCCACCCTGTCCCCTGTGCTGGAGCCTTCATCCTCTTCCTCTACTCCCCACCCTTTCTCCCCCAATCTCCTTTTGCCTCCCTTCCCTGCTTGCTGGATTTCCTCTCTACTTCGCTAGATCGATGACTGTTTTTGTTTGGTCGGCTCCCCTCTCTTATCTCTGCGGCCGCAGTTCAGGCCAGAGATAGGGGACTGGGCCAGAAAGAGGCCACCGAGCTTGGGCCCAGGCGGAGATTTGCTGGGACTCAGTGAGAAGAGGGATAATAAAATAACCCTTTTTGGCCCTCCTCCCCCAATAAATCACACAGACTCTCCGTGTGCGTGTGTGCGTGTGTGTGTGTGACACAAAGAGCTCTTTCAGTGCACAGAGAGGAGCCGCACAAAGTACCCAAGGATGGGCGCAGTGCTTCTTGTTTCTCTTCCCTGGAGCTTCCCTTTCTCTCAGATAAAGCAGTTGATCTTCTCTCTGAGAGTCTTTCCTGCCACATTTACCAAAGAATAAATGGCCCCAGATGCAGGATGGCAGGTGCTAGCATTTTGCTGTATTCATGGACCGGTAGTGTTGACTGGCAGCTGCAGTATTTCTTAGATTTAAGGGGGCAATGATTCCAGCCATCTTGAGAGTTGCTTTACTTTCAAGGTACCCCTCCCCCCCCCAGCTGTTTTAACGCCCTCTCTTTTAGGGCATAGGTCCTAAGAGCTGAGGTGGCATAAATTGGTGTGGAGGCAGAAACAGTTGTTTCTGAATCAGAGAATTAAACTGGTGTTTGATAAGAGGGGAGCAGCCTGACTTGCTTCTTCTCTCAAGTCTGCAGAGTGCTGAAGTCTTTTGAAATGAAATCTTGCCTGCCCGCTAATTTTGCTTTGTCCTTATATTTAAATAAGTTTCTGGGGCATTGATCACAGCATTGAATTGGCATTTGGAAGACCATGGAGACTGTCTCTTCCTTCCTTCAGGGCAGCCTTCAGAGGCCCACATCCTTCCTCGCACCACCCAAGAGACGACAATACGACAATACGTTCCACTCTTTGTGCTGTTTCTCCTGAGTCCCTGCCCCATGGGTACTGTGAGGAAGGGGCTCACCGATTTTTGGAGGAAGTGGTTTGTTAACTATCTCAGGTTTTGGAGGCACTTAGCTATGAGCAAAGGATGTAGAGAATCTTTTGACTGAACTCTTAACCATTTGCTTCATGTTCCTTTTAAAAGAAGAAATGTTCATGTAAATCCGGAGGCTTAATGTTCTGCTTTGTAAGCCAGTGACTGTTACATGCTTAATCAATAATGTCAAAATGTAGGTGGAAACAGATGATTCCTAAGAGCATGGCTCTTTGACTATTACAAGTAATAGAACCATCTCATTTGTTTTTCAAACATTTTATTAGAAAAGAATTGTTAAGGTTCATTAACATTTGCTTCTGCACTAAGGACATTCATCATGGGACTTTTTATATTAAAAAAAGCAGAAGGGTTAATGAGTGTACTGAAAAAACAAATGGTTGTTTGTGTAATGGCAGACCCAGGAAGGAAAGTCAGTACACAGTAAATTTGCACTGTGTTCACCAAGTTAGAGAGACTTTATGATGAGGTTGACTGTGAACAAATGCACACTCAGGTTTCTGTGCCTTTACTCTGTGCTTTCTTCTGGGGCGGGAATCTCCGACCCCATCTGATTTGCTCTGGTACTGGTTAACCTTCAGGGCCCAGCTCAAAAGTCACCTCATCTGTAAAGCTTTCTCCATCCTTTCCCCTTCAAACACATCATGCTTCCAATTTTGTTTTCAAACTTCAGCAGCAGGCATTGTGTTTGGCATGTGTCTGTTAACATCATTAGTTGATCAGCATTGAGAGAAGAAACCTGGCCTTATTTATCTTGTCTCAACAAATGTGAGTTAGGTCTTTGGTATGTGCTAGGCACCTGCGTTAATTAGGCCAATGTTAGAAGCTATAACAAGTAGGCTTGCAAAAATATAATGGCCCAAAAGCAATAGACATTCATTATTCCTCATGTAATAATCCAAAACAGGTATTTATGGTCAGTGGGGGAGGTGGCTTTCCTCCATGTAGTGATTCTGGGCCCCATGGTCTATCATCTGTCTCATAGTGCTCTGTTGTGACCTGCATTCAGCTAGCAGAAGGACAAAAGAGGGAGTGGAGGGGGTGCACCCACTTTTTAAACACCTTGGTTTGGAAATGACCCCCATCGTTTCTACTTACATTCTTTACCAGAGAGCTAATTCTATGACCTGCAAGGGAGCCTGGGAAATATAGATTAGCCAGGTGAGCAGATGAAAGACGAAGAAGAAATGTATTTTTGGCCAGCAGCTTTGCCATATTTGAAGGCACAGTCATTGCTTTCAAGGAGTTTGTAGGCTGAAGAGAATTAAATTAAATTGAAACCTAGAGCCTGTACCCATCAGAGATTTTGTTCTTTTGCTTTTACAAGTTCAGATCTTTTTATTTCAAACATCTTGCTTTTTGACCAGTTCCCTCTCAGCAATCCCTTGTAATATAGTGATGTGATAGTTCCTGTATTGCCTTTGATATATTTCTTTTTAATTTTTAAATTCCAGTAGCACCGTCCTTGTCCTCGTTTTTTACCTGTTGATTTTAGAGACTCCCAAAGTGGCTAAGGGGGTGCTTAGAAATCACAGCCCCACATTCTGTTCATAGGAAGAGGAAATAAAGCAGATTCCAGAGGAGGAACTTCTTGCCCCAGGTCATGCTAATGGGAAGAGGCCTTTGTCAGCCCAGCTCTCTCTTGAGTCACTCAAGCTGCCCTGACCTGTTGACTAGGGTCCTTGCGAATTCCAAGGAGGTACCTGAGCAGGGTGAACTGTCAGTGTTCTACATATCCGTGTTCTCCACAGGTCTCCAAATCATTGGAGCAGTTCTGTCTGTTCTAGTCATCATATTTAATAGTGTACTTATCTTTGCTATAAACAGTGCATTATATTCATCTGTTCTGAAAACATTAGCCCAGTATGTTATCGTGGGCAAAGCACTGGGAGATAGTCCTGAAAATGAATACATCTGTTGCCCTTGCTCTTGAGGAGCACACTGTCTACTGGAGGAGATAAAAATGATTAATAACACCTAACTTTTATTGGGCATTTGCTATCTGTCAAGTGCTGTTTAAACTCTAATCCTAACAATAATGATATGAAGTGGTTTCATTTTTAATCCCCATTTTAGAGATGGGAAACTGAAGCAAAGGAAGTTAAATAACTAACTCAAGATCATGTAGCCAGTAAGTGGTTGAGTCAGGATTCAGGCTCAGTTTGGTTTCTAAGCCCTTGCTTGCTCTTAATCACTAGGCAGTATGCAAAATACTATATACAGATACAATGATGATATTAATTAAACGTGTTGCATGCCATGGGGGGGTGGTGGTGTAAATGCCTTGAACTTGTTGGGAAATAAGACTTTATGTTTCGGTAAAAAATAAAACTTTCATTTCTACCTCCCTTCCTTCCATTTAGACCCTTGTCTATTGCTCACCTAGAAAATAGAAAATAAAATTAAATCTTAAAATGGGAAAGCACAGCATGTTGATACTGGAAATACTTTTACTCATTGTGATTCTTTATTTTAAGCTGGGTTCTTCTGGTGATCGACAGATAGATCTCTATGAGATTGTGGATTGTCCTACAGATTTATTCATTCAGCAGCATTCATTTGTTGTATCTACCATTTGTCAGACATTGAACTAGATGATGCAGGGGCAAAGAGATGTGATTCTGTTCCAGAGAACTAACCTGCAGGAGGAAGTCTCTGACCACTATGATAAAGGCTGTGATTCTAGTGATTCTCACAGGAGCAAGGAAACATACAGGAGGGAGCATGACCTCCACAAAGAGGTGGGAAAGTGGGGTGGCCAGGCAGAGAAGGCTGGAGGAGGAGGTGTCTTCGAGATGAAGAGTAGGAGTGTGGGGAGTAGGAGTCACCTAGTTGACTGTCGTGTGATGGCCATTGCCCCAGAAGGAGTGGCCCACAAGGCCAACGCACAAACCTGCTGGGAAACTGCCAGGGGTTCAGGGTAGGTGTGAGGGAGATGGACAGAGGGAGAAGACAGGGCTGGGGGAAAAACTGAGAATTGTTTTGTATCTTGTCAGGAATGTATTTAAGAGTTGTAAGTGGAGACACTGCTTTCACCTGATTTTAATTTGTAAGGATCATTTGGCCACAATTGGCTGTTGACCAGAGGCAGTCAAGATGCAGGGAAGGTAGAAACTCAGATGAGCAACAGATGAAGGTTTAGATGGAGCAAGAGACAGAATAAGAGATGGTGAGATAGACACGGGGGTGGGCAGATGGGGGGAGAGAGACACTAAGACCATCAGTCAGTTCAGTAAGGAAAGCTGGCGTGTGTGAAGCAATGTCTTTATCATGGACACTTTGCACTTTTAGCTCTAGGTATCTCATAGGGAGTTGAACAGAAGGTCTGGAGTGAGGAGTAA